TAAGCCAGCAAGACCTTTAGCAATCAAAAAAGGAGAGGTTTTAGCTAAGTTGATATCATTCGTACTCTGTATAACCAGAAATCTAGGCCAGGTTCGGGAAGTTTTGTTTGGTATATTATTTGGTTCCAATTCCTCGGTCAACGTACGCTTTAATGAACGAGTCTTCTTCGATTGGGAAGCCATGGGTATAATTTTAAAGATTCATCCCTGCCTGCTCTCCAACCACCAACCGGTTGCAATATCCATGCAGGCTACTGCGCGGATATCTAGCGCATACGCCCTAAGAGGACAGACAGGGATATACTTAGACAAAGTAAAGATTTATTATTTTTACTTTATCCAGTTGACCCAAGTCGCTGCTTTAGAGTGGGCACTCAGGACACAAAGGTAGAGCTGCAATAAATACATTACAGACTTATGAGAAAGATGCGCCTACTCGTCAGCTAAACACGACCAAAGCCGATTGAACAGAGTCGGCCACTCTAACCTCCCGTCTAGGTGAATTGTGGGCCGAAGCAATGTGTTGCAGAAAAAGGGATCGCAAGCCAAATCCCAACTCAATTACCAGGATTCCGCTCTCCACCAATACGGGTCGCAACGCACGGCAAACACGTTGCCCCATTACAGGGATCCTTTTTGTCGCCTTTTACGACACGCAGGACATACGAAGGGTATATTCTTATCACCCCCTACACCCCAGGGGGGATGGGGGTGGGGTATATAGGGGCACTACATTCATATCATGAGATCTGATGCATCAATTACAAACTTGGCTGGCTCTACGCTTAAATCTTGCATTTTCTCACCACGACCTTCTTATTGACCCAGCCCATTGCCTTTTTAAATGCGGGTCCTCTGGCCGTTTTCTGACAAAACAGTGTGTGAAAGGACCAAGGTGGTCCTAGCCAAGGTGGTGGCCTTTAAAATTTTGTATGGGGTGAAGGCCGTAAGTCAAGGTAAAATGTCCCAAAAGTTTTTTCTAACCCTGACCCACGACTTTGACCCAGTTATCTTTTCTAAAGGGCATCTTCTCTGCTTATAATCCGAACTTTGACCTTGATAATACAGCAAGAAATATGTCCATGGCACACATAAACGCAAAGGCCCCGATATCGATTGGAAGTTTGAAGTCGAGGTCACGGTTGGTTAGCGTTGATGACCGGAGGTCACCGTGACCTGTCATATTGGCCATACCTATTTACTTCGTTTCGAACACAGGCCCTCTGCGTTTGACCGTTTTTTGACCCAGCATTGTGTGGCTGAACCAAGGTAAACGTTGATGGTCCTAGGCAAGAAGATGGCCTTTTAAAATGGTTACGGAGTGAAGGTCGTAAGTCAAGGTCAAATGTCCAAAAACTGGCTTTGAAAAGTTCGAGTTCAGTTTTCTGTAACATGACTCGCTGGGCGAGTATGCTGATAGAAACTGCTACATCATATGGTCTAGGAACTCAGACGGTAATCTCTCCGGAATCTAATGAAAATCTGCCCTAAAAGTTTGTAATGATTTCTTTTACAGGCCCCATGAACATTACGCACAGACTAGGCTATTCATGACCCTGACCTGTGCAATTGCTGATACGATTGGTTACTTAAAGGAGCTAAATCGCTAACATTTGGGACCCAGAGATTGACAAAAGTAGGTCGCAACACATATAATACTGTAATATGAATGTATATAAACTGATATACATTCAATGGTTTCCGTTTTTACTCCAATTTCAAATCAGTTATGTTCGGCGAAATAAGCCAGCAGTCTCAAGCGAGTGCAAATTTCTAGCGTCTGGTTATTCCAGTCTACATACGCCGTTTGATTTGGTGCAATGTGTCTAGCCTCGTCCCTCGAGTCTCTTGATACAACTGGGGGCTGAAGAGCATTATGGTACACGATTCGTGTACCAATGGTAAAATGTTTATTTTGTCTTAAATATTGGATATCAAAAGCCCATCTTTTTCCGGTAGGATCATGGATCTTATAATAAGGTCCATGGTAAGACCACAGCATGAATGTTAATTTAATTTGACAAATAAATCGTGTTTTCAATGTTGAAGATTTTGGATGATATTGAGTTAGAGACTTAGCCACTTTAAGCCGAATGATGCAATTAGTAAATTTCCAATCACGTGTAATCTGGTGATGTGATGTTGACACATAGAACCAGCTATGTTTTGGTTCTAGAACTCTTTTTTATATACCCATCTGTCATTCATTTTGATTTAAGTACATATATGTGAATCTAATAACTTGCCAAAGATATTAATTAATACAATCTAATGCCATCATTAATTTCAAAAGCAAACATTCTAGCAATATTGCTACATTCGTCCCTCTATTAAAGACTTTTTGCTCGGTATTAGGTAGAATTATATAAGTATGCTTTCAAAAAGAAGTTATCAAAATTGCGTCGTTCGAAGCGTATGTACAATTTTCAGTGCAAAGGTGTCATTGTTTGAAGAAAATCGGATAAACTTGAAAGAAAAACAGTTTCAGACTTTGAAATATTTGTAGGTAATCCGGGAACATGAAAGTAGTTCCAATGGCGGACTTAGTCATACAGCCGAGGCTAGATGTAGGGTACTCAATCTAATTAAACTACAGATGTATATTTCGTTTCGTTTTTTATACTTTCGATGGCCTACACTACATGAAGATCTGACAAGTTATAGCGATAGGTCACGTCAGGGGTCAAAAGACCGACTTATGACCCTTTTGACGTCAGACATTTGATTAACCAATCAGCATTGATGTTAATAGTGGATTACCCACAGTTCCGTGAAAAACACGCCTAAAGCTCGCCGTAACAGACCGTTTCATTGGCGTATCCCGGACACCATTTAGAACACGAGTTAAATAACAACTCTTCCAGATCCAAGTGTAGTAAAGACAAGTAAAACGAAATTTTGAACTATAAAAACGAAACGAAATAAGATCTGTGTTTTAACCAGTTTGGTAGGGTACTGGAATCTGCTGAGGTTTGCCGAGTGATCTTAGAAGGTGATAAAAAAATCACAACAATAAGGGCGATAATCCAGATAAAAAAACGTTAAAAGCTTAAAAACTGTAAGTTTTAGCGACTAATCGGAATTATTAAGTTATGTAATTGTACAATTTATAATATATTAATACAATACCCCACTCAAGAAATGCAAAACAGGTAGGCCTATGCTGAAGAAATCGTACTATGGAAGTGTAAGTTTGAACATTCTAGCTCAATTAGGAGAGTTATTGTGTTCCAAAGTCTCGTCCAATCAAATTGCTTATCGCTCTGATTACCCCGAGCAACACATGCTCATTATCGAACTTAGTCAAGGTAGATGTAATGAAACAGTATACCAAGTTTCATCACTCTCACTTAATTAGAACTAAAGTTATCATGTCCCAAAGCATCAACCAATCAAATTTCTTATCTCTGCTTACCCTAAGCAGAAAATGCTCATCTTCGAACCCTGGATCAGGGCATTGACCTAATAAACACCTACACCAAGTTTAAACATTCTAGCTCAATTAGAAAGAGAAGAGAGTTATTGTGTCCCAAAGAGTGTGACGCACAGACGGACGGTCGGACGCACAGACAGAAGGATGAACCCATTTTAATAGTCCCCTGCTTATAAAAGCCACCAGGGTTTTAGAGGCATTTGAAAAAAACATAAAACAAGTTTTCTGAACAAGCATGAGAAATACAATTATTACTCAAAACTCTCCACTTCTAGAACTCTTTATTTGAGTCCAAAATAAAACTGTAGATTTCACTAATTTCATCAATCTGTTTCTTAGTGGTAATGCAAAAGCCTTTATAAGGCCCAAAAATAGCACATAGTAACACAAACTGGTCTGGGTAGAATAGGTGACTTTTACTCATTTTAAGTGAATAGAGTTTTCAACTCAAATCAAAACTATGTTGTAAACAAAATTTGACATCCACTAGTAATTTTTCCAAACAAAATATTAATAGTATAGAGCTTTCAATGCAAATCAAAGAGGTTTAGCTCCTTTAAATTATTAATAAGTAAAAATAAAACAAAACAAGATTTTTGTGTGATAGATATACATTTATAAAACACAAAACAATTTATTAATTACATACCCATACATTATATTAATGATACAGAAATAACACAACACAGAAATCTATTTTATATCATGAAAACATCCTAAAAATTTCTTACAAATAATAATGAAATGAAGAGGCACATGTATACAACACAATCAATGCATTATATAAGGTACATGACTATAAGAGTATATTTCATTGACAATTATCCAGTTTTTCTTTGTCAGTCAATGTAAATGCAATGCTAAATTTTTACATACAGGAAGGGGTATTTAATATGTTTACGGTACTAGTGCTGATTTTTTAAACACTATATTTGGATTTTAACCATTGATGGATCCAACTTGGTTGGCAAAGGCCTGTAACTTATTAAGGTCCCTAGTTCAATATTACTGAATAGTAAAAGTGTAATGTACTTTCATGATTGTGTTTGAAATCAGATGCCAACAGTAACTGTGTTAAAATTTCAGCAGGTAGGCTTAATTCCACTTTTAATTCAGTTGTAACTTATATTCAACGACAGCTGGAAATGATAAACTCTTTAGGCAATCTTATGATTTATAAATATTATTATATTAGAAATACATAGCATCATTTGTCTGTCCGTCAAAACTTACATTCTGTTCTCTTGAATTGCATAATTCTGACCAGAAATTTTGTCGGCCAATGCAATGAGATAAAAATATTATCAATACCTTGGAATTATGATAACATATTTACAAATCAAATAAATATTATGTACATCTTAAACATATTATAAACATTTTGAACAAAAACTGAAATTTTAAAACCCCACAATTATTTGACAATGAAAAGTTCAAGAATGCAAATATACAGAGTTTTGATATAGCTTGTATCATCTCTCCAGTCACAATAATTTATTATAAAGGAGAACATACACAGCTCATATGAGAGAAAAGTTGAATAGATTATCAATCTTAATTCTTTTAAAAATGTGGTGCCACACGAAATAAAGAATCAGCATTACATTATCTAATATCAAAAACATTTAAATGGACAAACATATAAAATATCAACAATACACAGATGATGAGCTACGATTTATCAAAATAAGATTTATCACATGGTTTTTTTTCAGTCAATCAGATAATACTGTTATGTACAGGAAGTGGCATCATACTACTGTAGCTGACTATTCCTCCAAATCAAACCCTCAGATAGCTGGTTTAAGTTTGATTTTTCATACGTTCAGTCTACAATAGCATATAGACAGTTCTCTTTATAACTTTAGCATCTGAAATGAAGAAAATAATTTAAAGAAATATAAGAACTGACATATATATACATTAGAAATTATTTTTATTGGACTTGAAAATACAACAGGCTTGGCTTATATAACATCAGGTAAACAAGAAATGGCTCAGAAAGCATAAGGAATACAAGAATGATAATGCATCTTTTTATCTTTAAAGGTATGTTAAAGGCTATAGCAGCATATATATGTCCTATCAACATTTATTATCAACATTTATTATGTCAATCTGACAAAGCATTTATGTAGGCTCAATTACATGTAACTTATCTCAATCTGACAAAGTATTTATGTATGCTCATGAACATGTATTTTAGAGATGAAGATAACACAATTCCAATTACCCCAATAATCAAAGCCAATCTTACAGAAAATTCTGCAAAATGTTTTTGATTATCCAGACAAATGTCACAGGCATGTTTTAAAAGTTAATGGAGCAACCTGCTGAGTAAACAGAACAAATATAACATAATATTTTTTACTAGATAGCATCATACATCATACATCATCATGATTTCATCCAAGTAATATTTTCATATTTCACAGTATAGATTAATATACAAACCTAATTGGCTGGTTGTTATTTACTATGATTGGGATTGCATTTTGTTACCAAGTCTCATATGATTATCTAGAATCTGAAACATTTCTGAAGGTGACGGAATACGACCAGTTTCTAATTTTGACCATATGGGGACATCTGAAAATGAAGAAAAAACTGTACGGTAGTGAAAAAAAATGATCAGATGATTTTCCTAGGAAACAAAACTACATCCAAATTTTCAAAACACTGAATAGATATATAGAGAATCTCCTACTAGTCTTTTTTGATATCAAAAAATATCAACACAAGTTGATAAAGTAACAACCAAAAACGAGGGTTTTTTTTTACTTTATCAACGAGTGTTGATATTTTTTGATATCAAAAAAGACGAGTAGGAGATTTTATTTATCACCCAATCCCTTCTTACATGCACAAATAGATAAATATAATTCTTTGCTGTAGATTTCACTTTTACTGAACATTACGGTGTAGTGATACATCATTTTATGACAGCAATTCAACCATTGCAAAGTCCTTTATATTGGTCCAGGGTTTCCATCAAGGTCAACTGAATAACAATAGATCATTTTTAATACAAAAAAAGTTACTTTTAAAAAGAAATGAACTGTTCTTTGAACTGACCAATCAAATTCATGTAAAGCGATATCTCCTAAGGAGATATAGCAGTAGATTATGAAATATATCACACAAGCGATATCTACTGTAGAATGTATTATTGGGTGATAAATACTGTTACTTGTTCCAAGCTACTTACAGTGGGGCCTTGCTTCGCACTTTGATATTTTAGATTGTCTGTATGCATTGTTCAGTGTTTTGAGGCACTGTCTATAGAAGAATTACAGATAATCCAACTTTATTATTTCTTTCTAACTCTTGGGTCACCTTACCAGTAAATATCATTTGATCATTTCATATAATAAGTTAAAAATACCCCTTTCAAAGTAACACCTTTGTGTCTTACAGGTATGATTTGGGTATAATGAATTCAAACTTTAATGTGGCTATGCTGGCACTATCCTGTGTTAGTAAGGCTGCGTTTCCACCAAGTTTCACGTGACACGAAATAGAAACATATGATTTTGGTAGGAACCGTTTCCATCAATGTCACTTTTCACATTTCACGCGTGAAATGACACGTTTTTGAAGAATGAACATGTTCATTCTTTTTACCCGTGTCATGTTTCACGTCTGTCCGATCTGGGGTTTCCCCTGGGTTTTCCACAGCTTTTACTTTCCCTTTTGGTAACTCCACGTGTTTGTATCGAATGTAAAAAGAGCCTGTGTTTTGATCGTCTAAAATTAGTTATTTACGCTTGTCCTAAACATGAATGACTATAAGCACAACCTGCCTTTTGCAGAAGACCCCACTTCTGTGGGACCCCAGAAATAAAGACTATAAAAACAAAGACCAAAGAAAACAGGTGTGGGAGAAGATTGATGAAAAGCTACAACCACCAGTAGAAGGTATTTAATTTAATTAAACATAAATCAAGAAACAGATGTATGAACTTGGATTGAACAGTTTTGGCTTGCATATAGTTTCATTTTTGTTACCTTTCTAGTCCTCGAGAAGAAGAACATTTCGGAACACATTCTGATCTTGCCACATGACACTACCGCGAGGATCGTTGAAAAATTCTGCAATCAAATCACAGATTTCTGTAGCCTCATCCGAGTTTCTGCCACCTTGCTGGGGGCGCAGATTAATTAATCCTTGTTCATTGTTAGGCCTGATGTCATATGTAATTTCTGATGACCGATCTATCATATGTCCATCTCTTCTACGGATAAAATTGTGCAGAACGGAACATGCATTAGTAACTGTAATTGCTCTGTCTGGCTGTAGGCGCTGGAAAATCTCAAACAAGAATTTCCTCGTCAGATGAGTCTGAACCGTCACCCATCACGAACACAGGACGAATGACATGTGACATGTTCGATTTGAAATCCAGTGGAAACCCCTAATGTCACGTATGACGTGTCATGCATGACACGTGATACGTGACACGTGAAATTTGGTGGAAACGCAGCCTAAGGCATTAACATAATAGCATGACAAACTTTCAGCTTATATACTACATGTAGATGTGCAAAGTTTATCTCCATTTTTGTAACATCCAAAATGGTTATAAACTAGTTTTCTTTCAGCCTCAAGGATGCAAACATTTTGTGCAAGTTTGATAACTTTTTATATAGTAAACAGGAACTTTCTCACAAGGACATCCTGGGAACTGTGTTGCATTAATAGTCATTACCGGTAATTGTCAATTTTCTTCATTAACTACTCCACCAGATACAAAAGCATCCTATAGCGAACAAACAAACTTCCTCTTTTATATAATTATTTAGATATTTATATTATAAGTCAAATTGAAAGATAGATTATGCTTTAACTGCGGGCTTAAGAATGCATCTCCCGAACTGTAATGAATATATGCAATATGGACACAGCCCACCATTAATTCCTATGCTTGTTAGCCCCCGAAGTAAGGGCCAAATTTATTTTTAGTCTTTCTCTCTCTTTCCCTCCCCCCATCCACTTTTGCATGACGATCTTTGCTAACTTTTTGGTTTAGTAGGCGGAAAGATAAGAGAGTTAAGAGATTGATTGGTCAGGTTGGAATGTAGGGTGGACAGATGCATGTTTACTTGTATGCAACTTCCAGTTTGTGTATCTCAAGTTTTTCATGGTGAATCTATATCTGCTTTTAAGCAAGGGGTTGCTACACGTTGCTCCATCTGTGGTAGAAAGCATTCAATCCAGGGTTCTTAATCCATTTTGAAATGAACTGGTCAAAATTGGGTCAAATGAGGTCCTGGTATGGATATGGGTTTAAAAATTATAATATTCCATTCCCTTTTGCATAACCAGACTTCAGCAAAAATAATTCTTGGTAATTTGTTATATGGAATGTTATGAACTTCAACCCCTCGAAAACTTATGAACATCATGGGGATATTAATGATTTGGTACAATTTCTCCGGTTCCTGTTCAATATGGAGTTGCATCCCTTTGACATCGATAAAGAAGTGGTTTAATGTCCTATTGTTCTGCAATGATAGGGTTAGTGAAGACAGGTGTATGCCATGCAATGAGGGAAATTTTGCCTGGACAGTGGCACTATAAGAAATTTTTTGTCCCATCCTAGCGAATAGATGCTGTCCTAATCAGGTCCTCTTGTCTTGCCCCACTGAAGGAGCAACCAAACTGGAATATTCCGGGGAACTTTCTCAGCAACGAGACTGAACCCTGCACATCCTAGTTAGTGATCCAATAGTTGGTACTAACATCAAATACTGCTAAAATGGACATACAAATACATGTAGGAATAAATTATGATTTGTCCATAAGTACTATTCTTGCAATTGCAAGCAAACTTCAATATTATACTAACCATTAAGCGAAATTTCAAATGCACCAGTTGATATTAACTGTCCTTCTATGGCATTACTGATAAAAAATATCATTAAACAGGAATAAATCTGAAAATATTTCATCAAATACATGTAAGTTATAATAGATAAGAAGACTAATCAACAATTAAAAAACAGTTCTAAAATTAAGTTATGGTGACCTTTTTTTGCAGTTATTTAGTACATTTATTCATTTACTCACTCATGGCAATGTCTGTTAATCGCTGCAAAAGTTAGTTTAATTTACAAAAAGAAACCCTTTAGAATTGTGGAAAATCCCATCAAAGTCAAAGTCAGATATTTTGGAATATACATGTAACACAGAAAAGTCAGTATAATATAATTATGCTTATGATAAAATGAAACCAGTTACTTACCTTATTTTGAGCAGCCCATTCATAAAAATTAGGAGTAGGCATATTGAAAAGAGTAAAAGGGTTATGGCCACTGACCACAAAGCCAATAAGAACCAGCTTTGCTATGCTGAGGATTTGAGAAATCAAAGCTCGGACAGAAGGAGCGGGATAATGTCCACCTTCTATCGTCAAGCTAGGAAATCTCTGGTGAATGGCCTCTGCATATTGGTCAAAGGCCTTCTTATACCCTCAGGAAACACTGAAAATAGAAAAGAACATTTGATATATTGTTTATTGTATCATTAGATGATTGATATATACATGATGGGGGCTTGTTATATTAGGCCCCAACCAATAGTAAGCAAAGTCGCCCATGTTAGTTCTAATACACGTATCATTACCAACAAATCCAGCAGAGAGAGCGAGAGAGAGAAATAAGGTTTCAAGTCCACTCGATATTTTGGGACTAGCAAATGAATCAATTTTATTTCAATAATTCATTTTCTCATAGAAGTTTTTAGCAGGGTGAGGAAACGGAAGGCCCCAGAGGTTGGACAAGTGACCCCACTCCTTCGCCTTGTCACACACAAGCAGGGAATCGAAACCATGCCACCTGACTCAATAACAGACCGTCTGATTTAAAGCACACATTAAACCATTCCGCCGTCCAATCCCCCACGCCTAAATGAACAATGATCAAGAAGATCAGATGATACGTCATGTAGAGTAACGAGCTATGGAAATCAATCAAAACCCCCCAGGCTTAAATAAACAACGACCAAGCAGATCAGATGATACAGTGTACATGTAGCTCCATATATAACCAGCTATGGAAATCAAACCCCTCAGGCTTAAATAAACATTGATCAAGCAGATCCGATGATACAGGTAGCTCCATATGTAACCAGCTATGGAAATAAAAACCCCTGGCCTAAATAAACAATGATCAAGTCAAGTAGATCAGCTGAAACATGTACATGTATGTAACCAGCTATGGAATTCAAAACCCCTCAGGATTAAAGCTACATTAGTTAAGAGTTTTATAAAGAGTTGGACATTCTTGCTATAATAATTCAAATATAGATGATAAAAAAAGAAAATGTTGAAAATTTCTGTCAAATTACTTTGTTCTGAACGGAATTGTCACTGTTAGAAGTTTGGACTAACTGGTCAGATTTTGAGCCATTTAGAAAAAAATGGATGTCAGCTGTTTCGTAACCTGACTGTTTCGTACTTAGTTCATTCGTGCCTCACATGAGCCGTTTCGTACTTCACTTCATACCTTTTCCTATGTTGTTGAAATCAGTTAAAAGAAATTGAAATAAAGGTGAAACGATTTGATCAAATCCAACGGCTACGCTAAATTTATATTACACAGCCTGCCCAATAGTAGTAATTCACACACAATTAAAGGATACATTTATACTAAAATTGCTTCAGCTTTTCACTAAATTTACATCGGTTACGATTGAAAGCCATTTTCATGCAGTTGGGTTTCAATAACAGAATTACCCCGTGATATGACTGTATATACGGTCCATGGTATAACAGAATGGGTTCAATAATCAACCCCGGATTAAATACTTTTTCATTGGTTTTTTAAACTGCTTTAACAATCACCAATCAACTGTCGTCAATAATCACAACTCACTCAGCAGAATGGGTTCGATAATCAACATCAGATTTAAAGAAAGGCAGGTAATCTATTATTTCAATTTCTTTCAACAACATATAGATCTATTTTAATTTCTTTCAATTCATTTCAACAACATATAGGAAAAGGTACAAATCAATTTGAGGTACAAATCACGTGTGTATTCTAATTCTCGTTCGGCAGCCATTTTTATAAATTTAGCGCAGCCTTTAGATTTAGGAGAAGGAACTAATCAATTTGAGGTACAAATCTCTTGCATATTCTAATTCTGGTTCGGCATATTCAATTTCTTTCAACTGATTTCAACAACATAGGAAAAGGTACGAATCAATTTGAGGTACGAAGTGAGTTACGAATGAACTTCGTACCTTTTCCTATATATATGTTGTTGAAATGAATTGAAAGAAATTAAAATAAATCTATATGTTGTTGAAAGAAATTGAAATAATAAACGATTACCTGCCTTTCTTTAAATCTGATGTTGATTATCGAACCCATTCTGCTCAGTGAGTTGTGATTTTTGACGACAGTTGATTGGTGATTGTTAAAGCAGTTTAAAAAACGATTGAAAAGTATTTAATCTGGGGTTGATTATTGAACCCATTCTGCTGAGTGAGTTGTGATTATTGACGACAACTGATTGGTGATAAGCGATTAAAAACGATTGAATATACTAAGAATTCCAAAATCAATTTAACTCATTGTAAGGTGAAACTGCATGCTTTCTGATATGGTTGGGTTATTTGTGCCTAGAAACAGAACGCAGCAATTAAGTCTCCAAAAGGTGCCTACGTGTGAAGATGGGCGTACATGTTTCTTTGATCTGTTATATCATGGACCGTATATACGGTCATATCACAGGGTAATTCTGTTATTGAAACCCAACCGCATGAAAATGGCTTTCGATCGTAACCGATGTAAATTTAGTGAAATGCTGAAGCAATTTTAGTATAAATGTATGTGAATTACTACTATTGGGCTAGTTACTTTAGTAACGTAAATTGTAGAAGGCGTAAATTGTATCGGCTCTGCCTTCTACTACGTTACTGTCAGCTGCTAATGACAACTAGTATGAAAATAAGGCTTTTCACCCATCTCGGTTCTAAGACTATTTTGGAACCCTTACCGTCTATTTTTCACTGTGATTCTTCTTTGGTCGCCAAAAGGAATCATTTCTTGTCACATCCAACACAAATTTATAAAAATCCAACACCATTTTCATGTAGAATTACGCGATACAAAAACATAAACAACTTTCATTTGAATTGGGCCGCCATGTTCAAACTAACGCTCAGCCAATATTCCAAATTTAGGAATGGAATTTTACCGTTGGATTTTCATAAATTTGTGTCGGATGTGGCAAGAAATGGTTCCTTTTAGCGACCAAAGAAGAATCACAGTGAAAAATAGACGGTATGGGTTCCAAAACAGCCTTAGAACCGAGATGGGGAAAAGCCTTATTTTCATACTAGTTGTCATTAGCAGCTGACAGTAACGTAGTAGAAGGCAGAGCCGATACAATTTACGCCTTCTACAATTTACGTTACTAAAGTAACTAAAGTAACAAAATTATTACAAATTGAAATACAATTATGCATTCATGCCGAGAAGTAAGCCTACTTACCAATACAAAAATTTGAGTGTGGGACCAGCAAAATGTACCAGATTTGGTGCCTTTATGTCCTTTTGTTTATTAATTGTTGAATGGGTCTCTTGGGACTGGGTTATGTCCCTATATGTTAAAAATAACAGGGCGACAAATAGTCCCACCATGGACAGGTGATTCAAGTCCGCCATCTTTCACGGTTGCTAAAAAAAATGGGGTGCCCCGAAATATCAGTTTACCGAAATATTTCTAAATACAATGAAATTATAAAATATATTGTGCTGACGTTTTTTCATTTAATCAGATTATAAAATAAAATTGGATGTAAAATGGAAAATTCTAATATGAATATATAATGAATAAAATAGATAATTATACAATTATTTCGTTTTCTTCGAGTTTTAGACTAAAATTTAGTATCACCTTCAATATCAACATCCAACATGGCTGCTCCAGCGAAGAGCACACCCAGAGATGCTCAAATTATGGCTGCAATTTTGAAAGATATGGGTGTTTTAGAATATGAACCAAGAATAATCAATCAGATGCTAGAGTTTACATACCGTACGTTACATAAAGATTTCGGGTTTCTTGGTTTTATTTAATGATTTAATTTTTCTCTACATCCAATTCCAAGAAGATTAACTCCACTCCAGTCCATGCATCATAAAACAAAAGGATACAGACCACCAAATATTTTCCATTAACTTTAATCTGTCTCTTTTTCCCATCTGGCAAAATATTGAAGGAGCAGAAGGGGTGGAGGTACTCCAGAGTGTTTAGAGGTTTCATTCACATGTAACCTCTAGATTTTTCAAGTAAAGCAGGCGCCTGAATTCTGGGCGCATCAAATACTCACGAGCTGAATGGCGTCAGTCGGCAAATTCCAAATGCATGTCCTACCTTATTGTGTGAGCCATCATTGAACAAGAATATTATTGACAAACAAAGGTTTGTCCAATATCACATTCACCAACACCTTCTTTTAGTCACCATATTTGGATAGTTTGACCTGACATCATATCCTCATTAAAATTTGAGTACCCCTGTTTTACGCGAAACAAAGTGTATTTTTGTACAATATTTCTGTGCATTACTTATGTATTGTTTTTGTAGATAGGAGTTGAACATCAATTAAAATATTGTTTGACGTTGTTTAGGTCAGACAAACAATAATAAAATCAGATTAAACAGACATGAGATTTTTCCACAAAATTTCTGCCAATTGACCTAAAGCAATTTTTAAATTTTTATAAATTCTACTACAAACCCCCCCAAAAAAGCCAAGTAAAAATTATTCAAACAAAAATTATCGCCGAATGGAAACTCAGGTAAAGCAAATAGATTTCACTTCAATCAGAACACCCTTCGGTAATTTACGCCAAGCTCATGACGACTTTGATGGAAAAATTCTTCGATGATCCGATTGGCTTTCGCTTCACATTTGGCATGATTCGGTTCAAATCGACCGTTTCCGTGATCAGCTATAACAGCATTCTGATTGGTCAAAACGTGTTGGTTATTCTCGCTACAAGATCATTGCTTCAAGCTGTCGCTACATGTATTTTTATCTATTCATATGTAAATGAAGAACGATGTCAATAATCAACAGAACTGACGAATCATGTGCGCGAGAGATGGATGGTGGATCTAAAAATAAATGGAGATGGGACTGGCTTGAAAGAGAAGTCGATTTGACGAAAGATAGCGGGAAAAATTTTGCTTGAATGAATTTGTGCATAAAATTGAACTGCCTGGAAAAGCATGTTGTCTTTGGTGTAATGAAGAAATTAATTACGGAGGAAGAGGATTCACGAGCTTCGTTCGTCATTGTCAAAGTTCAAAACACACGAATGCTGCACAGTGCCATTTGACTATCTATTCGCTATCATCAGTGTTTGGTGGATTCAAATAAATGAATGATTAACTCTTGTCACTTTTCCTATTAAATGTTACAGTAAAAATCATACCCCTTATTACCAGTGTCAGTTCAATTTCTCAAACATTTCAATGATTTTTAGGGAGGGTTGGATGGCTTAGTGGTTAGCACGTGCACGCTGTATCATTAAGTCTGTCATTGAGTCAACTGGCGTGGTTTCGAATCTCCGGTTGTACGTGACAAGGAGTAGGGTCGCCTGTCCAATCTCGTGGGTTTTCTCCGGGTCCTCCGGTTTCCTCCCACTGCTAAAGACCCCTACGCGCAAGTGAATTATGGAAATAAAATTGAACCATATGTTAGTCCTGAAATGACCTAGTTTGTGTCGAGTGGACGTTAAACCCCATTTCACTCTCTCTCTCAATGATTTTTAGCCCCCAAGACAGGGTAAATGTGTGGTATAATTGTCAAGTGAAAATGGGCCAAAAACACATGGGATGGCTTAAAACAATGTCCTGTTTTCAAAAATTTCCTGAGGCCGACGTGACCATCCTGTCTATCCTTTATAAACTGCAGTATAGAAATACCAACTGACTATAACATCTCTACCCCCACGTCTGTTCTGAGCCTATTATGGAGTTATTACCTTCTATTTTTCACCATATCTGGCACAAATTTATAATACTGTTGAACTTTTCGATTCCAAAACAGAATCAAAACTATGTTTGAATTGGTCGGCTCTTACAATCGTGAGTCCCATCCAGAGACCATTCCGTAAGGAACTAGAACAGTTTCCTCTTGATTCTTCTGGCTCAAAGTAGTGAATATTTACCAAAACCTGACAGAAAATATAAATATTCAAACACTTGTGGTATTTAGACCAGTCAACCCGGTTGTATGTGACAAGGAGTAGGGTCGCCTGTCCAACCTTGTGGATTTTCTCCGGGTCCACTGGTTTCCTCCCACTGCTAAAGTCCCTAAATGCCCTAGTTTGTGTCGAGTTGATATTAAACCCAATTTTTCTCTCTCTCTCTCTCTCTCCAATGAGTCAACAAAAATTTCCATGCAAAAAAACTGAAAAAGGGAGAAATAGTTTTGAAATCAAGGGAAATAATTACCAGTCTTGGACCAAGCTTCAGACCATAATTGAATGTATACAAATTACATATTGAAGTTTTTTAATAAACAAAATATTGTTGTGTTCTTGTGAGAAATGTTTTAGATGACACTGAATTTTAATTTCTTTCTTGTGACAGCCTGTAGACCATACAAAAATATATTATGGATACGTTTTTGTTTCATTTTTTATGGTTTAGATTTTCTCCATAATGTAAGCTTATATGTAAGATCTATTGTTTTCCGAACAGCACAAATCATTGCAGCAATTTGTGTTATGCAGTTAGTTTATAAATAGATCATAAAGTCTTGGTGTGATTGAATAAATATTTTTATAATTGATCGACTTTTTACACTGTGACGTCTGGTAAAATAAAAAATAAGGAATGCTAGACGAAGGACAAAGAATGGTAAATTAGATAACATCTGATTTACTTTGGTGGATTATTGAAAGCTTTGTTTAATTTTCACCCATATTGTTTATATTTTAGGGTATGTAACAGATATATTAGATGATGCCAAAATCTACTCAGCACATGCAAATAAAAAGACGATAGATGTAGATGATGTTAAAATAGCAGTACAGTGTAGAATGGACCATTCCTTTACCTCACCACCCCCAAGAGATGTAATTATTTTGATTCAGTTAATGCTAGTCTAGCAGGACAGAGTATACCTTGTTGTGGACTGTATCCTGCTTGATTGATACGTTTAATGTCTTGGATTTATAATCATGCTTGTCTAGCTTTGTATTACTTATATAACTGCATGGATTATGGCCCCTGATTGTACGAAAAATCACATTTTTAGCTTGTGGACCCTCATAATTTTTATTTGATTTTCACAGCCGTTCAAATGTATCACCTTTACACCCTATTGATGGTTGAGTTTGAATTTCTTGAAAATTGGACCGAAACTGCCCAACAAAATGTTCTCTTCTCGTATGAAAATAGTGTAAAAGTATGTAATACCAGCATGTTTGCCAAAGATTTCGGTTCCTTTCGATAGTGAAGCATGTCAGACCATAATATACAGGATTAATTATGGACCCTTCTTTCTTTTTTAGCTTGTTCTCTGTCCATCTCTTGCAAAATGTGGGCATATCTTGCATGGCAACTGCTTGTTCAATTTTTAAGGACTAGGCATCTTTCAAACTAATAATATTTGTTGCTTTTTTATATTTCAGCTACTAATGGAGATTGCTAGACATAAAAATAATCAACAATTACCTTTAATAAAACCATATACAGGACCACGCCTTCCACCAGATCGTTACTGTCTCTCGGCACCAAATTATAAACTCAAGTCTACTAAAAAGGTAACATAGAAAGAATTTGAAGATTTTTTTTCTCCCAAAATAGAGGGAGTGTCATTGCGATCATCCTGTTTTGAAAATCAGTTTTTTATTTTTTTTTATTCCTTGTACTTATATCTAAGTTAAATTAAAAGGCTTTTATTTAACATGAAATAATGTTTATAGAATATTTATCAATTACTTCATTTTTTTGCAATATGATTTTCAAAGAAAACTCATATATTACAAATAATCTTAATTATTGTGCATATATTAAATGCAGTAATCAGTTACCATGCTATGTATGGAAGATGTCAAATCCAATTTCTTGTAGAGGTTATCTGGTAATCCTCATATATTGGTAATCATTATTGATTATTCTACTTCTTAGTTAAAATGTCTTATTTTTGTTTTTCAGCCAAGAATTCAGTTTGGTTTACCTATGAAACAAATTAATCAGTTTGGTAGTGGACAAAGAATAAGTCTAGCAAACTGTAAGCGTAGCGCATCAAATCTTGCATTAATTCAATAAAATCTTTCACATTGTCTATATAACTAGTATTATAAGATAAAACTTAGTGATGGTATACTAGAGATATATGCCATGTTATATACCAGTAGGAAATTATTAGGCCCAAAGCTAAATTTAATATTTATGGGGCCGAATGGATAATATTTCTTTGGGAGCCTTCTAATTTGTATTTATCTATTACTTTTAAAAAAAACTATTTAATAAGCGCCCTTTATGGATCAGTAAACTATCTTTAACAAAATAACTTCTCAAGCACATGACACATATGAAGAGTCCAGGAGAAGAACGAAAACAGACTTTTGGACGAGAATGGTTGACGCGAACAGAACAAACACTTCAAAATGTGTTTAATACAAACCATAATTACCAGTAAAACAACTGACTTCCACTTTTCAGCCAAATTAAGGTCAAATAAATACAATGCAGTTGTATTTGTCCGGGAGGCCATTTCAGAAGGGCCTTGGTTCGATGTGACTCCGATCGTTTTTGCCTGAAATTGATTGTTCCTCAAAAAGCTTATACAATTTGCTACCAGATGGCGCCATTAACTGGGGTTCGTTGAAAAAGTGACTTAGATCGTTTTTCCCTGGGGCTCTTCATATATTATTATAGGACACATTTGTGTATGCTGAAGGGGGTAGGGGACACTAAACTGTTTTTGCCGTTCGTAGCGGGATAGATTGCTCAACAGTTAGGTGTACATCAAAACATGAAATGGATGGTGAGACTGTATTATATCTTTTAATTTTTTACTTTTATTTTTCAGTAAAAACTAGCAGTAGTAGTGGAAACCCTACATTAACCGTTGTAACTAAAGCTGTAAGTCAACCAACTGTTACGATAATTAGTAAACCAGCATCCAGTTTACCGAAACCTACAATCCGAGTTAATACAGGTACTTGTGCACCCTATCTATTCATCTTATGCTAGTTGTGCTGCCAACCAATACATCCCTAGAAATTCACGGGAATCTCCGAATCTAATTCGCGCAAGGATTCTCGCAAGAGCTTACGCTCAATTCGCGTAAAATTTTTCTAAAAAAAAAAATCCCGGAGAATTGTTGAGTCTGACAATTGAATGTCAATCAGGGTCAGGGTTTACCATGGGGCTGTATTTTGTCGGCTTAGCCGATTGATGTTTATTCAAGCCGATTGGTAAAACATTGAATCGGCCACTATGGTATCGTAGATAATCAATCATCAATCTACTTCTGGCTAAATTACGACGGATTAAGAATCTGCCATATATGTGGTTCATAATCCGATTAATTAGCACACTGACCAGTTGTTAGGTAAATTTAAATCTTCTTTGAATATAATCCCCTGATAGAACATCGAATACATGGAGAGAGAAACAGTTCTAAATAGCGTTTACCGTTATGATTTTTTATTTTATATACTACTGACACAGGCTTAATTTTAAAAATATTAATGAAGGCTATATCTTAGTCGTACAGAATTTTATTTTATAGCAATTTCAGTTATGGTTGTCACATGATCATTGTGCCGTTTGTCTATCATCGACGAATAAATAAAAACTTTTGCAAGTTACGTGATGGACAAAGAACTACAAATTGTGTTATGAAGAAATCCCACGGCTCTGTATCAGCTTATTTTGGCTACGGCATTTTCTGATACTGGCGATAAACAATAAATACAATTTTGTTATTTTAGTCAGGATTAATATTAAGATTCAAAAGATTTGTGCAGATTGCATATATGAGAATCCTCTTAGATTCTCGCAAAAAATGACGAATTTCTAGCCCTGCAATAGTAAAGAAAAATATACACATGATTTGTAGACGCTAAATTATGATGCAGTTTTATGTTCTCCTTTCACTCAATTATGTGCTGTTACTACAAATGTAAAACTGATATACATATTACCAGTCCATCAATAACGATCACAAAAGTAAACATTTGACATTCAACTGTTTTCTTTGTGTTATTTGAGTTAAATTATTTAAATGAAGTGGGGCCTTATTTTGTTTCGTACATTACTGAAATATTAAGGCTTAAATTTTATTATCAAGTTTAGATGCAGATTTGAAATAAATAAATTATATTCTTAGTAATTCTCGAATGTTTTAAATTATTTCCTTCAGTTTTTCCTGAAGAATCGGGCATGAAATAAAAAATATTTTTGTCCCATTTGTATGGATGTTAAACATATTTTCTCTCTCTCTCCCCCTCTATCTTTGGTTGTTCATTAATTTTATTGAACTATTTTTTTGCAGGTTCTCTGGGATCAACAAGCTTACCTAAAATAATAACTCAAAGTTCTTCTGGTACAAGTATATTAACACCGAAACCTACACCGATACAGACTTCATTATTACCTACCACTATTACACCTACTATTAGTTTATCATCAGCTATTAATACACCTACTGTTATAACTAATCCTTTAAAACGGAAATTAGAAGATGATGATTACGATAAATAAACAACTGCAAATAGAAATTAAGTAAAACCATTCTTGTCCATACTCATTTTTTGTAAATATTTGAAATAAACTTATGACATATTAGAAAGATGTCGTCTGAATAAGATGTTTGCATGTATGCCAGGCCTTCATTTTGGAGTAGAGTAATTGCTCTCACTCACACCTGCAGATTAATTATCGGGTGAGCCTTAAAATCGTTCATCTGAAGCACGAAAAAAGGGCTTGATAATCCTGAAAGATTGGTTGCCAGGCAACGAAACATACGCCCACAGCAGCTAAATCGTCCGGACAGTCAACAAGAGTTAGCAAATATTTTTACTTTTTTCGGTAATGAAACATTTATAATACACTAAAATCTGATTAAGAGTAACAACTCATTAAGTAATTCAGAAAATCTTTAGTATTTGTGCCCCATGCTAACGTTTAGTATACGAAACATTTAATATCATGGATTTAGCTGTTCAAGTTATCAAAATTCATTGAAAATCGATATACTTGTTCGTCTCAAGACCTTAAACTTTGTGTATCAATCTGAAGTCAATCGGATGATAACTTTAGCCTCTAGAGCATCACAAGATTTTTCAGAGTGATCAAGGGCCACAACTTTGGCAGTAATTATCGGAAATCAATAGAATTCTTCATCTCGTGATCTCAAACACTGTGTATAAATTTAAAGTCAATCGGATATTAACTTTAGCCTCTAGAGCATCCACGAGATATTTTGAAGTGATCAAGGGCCATAACTCTGGCAGTAATTATTGGAAATCGCTGAAAATCAATAGGCTTCTCTATCTCATGACCGTATACACTGTGTATAAATTTAAAGCCAATCGGATATTAACTTTAGCCTCTAGATCGTCCACAAGCAATTGTGGACGCCGGACCGACAGACGGGAGCAGGGAGAGACGACAATATACGACCACATTTCAATGTGGGCGTATAAAAACTAGGATCATTTGACTTGATCATTGTTTATTCTAAATGGCATACACATTCAACCGCTCCGCAGTCTTTTTAAGGATGCTCGTCGAGTTATTAAATGATCTTTTTAAAACATACATTAACTTATCCAAACTTGATGTCATCTTATGTGTCACATTTTCACTGGATTGGAATCCAATCTGCTGCTCAGTGCTCATTGATGGTTAAATCCAAAAATGGATAATCAAGACTATATTTTTTATCGTACTGACTTTAGTAATGATGATTGAGGCTAGGTTTAAAATTCAAAAGCTAATGCAGTGTATCTCGGTTCATAGTGGAGCAATTTGAAATTTTCAACATCTTCTGTTTATGTTATCTATTTTTTTTTTTAACTATTATAGCAAGAACAGTCAACTCTTTATCTAATCTCCTATTATGTATCTTTAAGTAGAGCTGTTTTAACAAAGCTTAAGTTCAAGTCACCGCTCATTGTTTCTCTTCTTGGCTTATTTGTTTTCATGTAGACTGGAATGTTCACAAGAGTCTGCAAAGTGAGCAAGACCAACTACTATACAAGTTAAAAACACATTGATCAATAGTAATGATACAGGCATAATCTTCCATATTATAGCCCATTCCAATCTTCAAATCAATACCAGGACTGACATTTTTTTTAATATACTTTTATTGCATCTATTAAACATCCTCATACAGCACACTTTTATAAGATTCACCAAAAAAAAAAAAACAAGTTTCATTCACCAATGATTAGTACAGTCACAATTATACGACTACAAATTTTTATATTAAAATGATACATATACTGTTAATAAAGAAATCAACAACTACATAAGGACGATATGACCAGCTCTTAATTTAAACTACCTGGTACTAAATTCGTACTTTATTTAAATATTTCAAGCCTAACATGAGGATCAAGTTAAGGAAAGGAGTTAAACTAATTTTGTTGAGACTACAGTTCTGTTTTATATGGTCATGTGTGCCAAGCTAGGAAGGACAATTTTTCCCAGCAATGTTTTCACCTATATTCTTTAAGTAGGGTTTTTACCCTATACAAAAATGTCCTTGTCAGCACTGGAGGCACTATTATTGTCAAATGGGCAAACCGACTTGAAAATCCTAAGATTCTCTTTGGCCTATGCAGATTAAACTCTGGTCATTCTGCAGGTCTAGTTTAGAAGCAAATTAAAAGGAATAATCATACAAATAACTGAATGTTAAACATTTTAATTATAAATAAAACCAGCGGCTGCCAGGCAGGAGACGCCCACATTTTCGAGAGATGGATAGAAAACAAGCTAAACGAAAGTGATTTTTCCTACAATCAAGGGCCATAATTCAGGAAATTACAAATCGATATGTGCAAATATCGAAAGGAACCAAGATCTTTGAGGTATAAACTTACATTTCAAGTTTCAACAAAATCGGATAAAAATTGTGACCTCTATAGGGTCCACAACCTTGATATACCATATTTTTACGCTATTTGAGAACGAGGGGCGGCCATTTTGTCTGTCAGTTTTGGGCCAATTTTCACGAAATTCGAACTCAGTCGTCCTTAGGGTGTAACGGTGATATAATAATACGTTTTTTTAAATCAGATAAAAATTATGACCTCTATAGGGTCCACAATCAGGGGCCATAATTCAGTAAGTTACGGTCCGATATGTGCGAATATCGAAAGGAACCAAGAACTTTGGGTTATAAACTTACATTTCAAGTTTCAACAAAATCGGATAAAAATTGTAACCTCTATAGGGTCCACAACCTTGATATACCATATTTTTACGCTATTTGAGAACGAAGGGCGGCCATTTTATCTGTCAGTTTTTGGCCGATGTTCACGAAATTCGAACTCAGTCGTCCTTAGGGTGTAACGGTGATATAATATGATTTTTTAAATCGAATAATAATTATGACCTCTATAGGGTCCACAAGCTAAAAACGTGATTTTTCGTATAATCAGGGGCCATAATTCAGGAAGTTAAGGTCCGATATGCGCGAATATCGAAAGGAACCGAGATCTTCGGGTTATAAACTTACATTTCAAGTTTCAACAAAATCGGATAAAAATTGTGACCTCTATAGGGTCCACAACCTTGATATACCACATTTTTTACGCTATTTGAGAACGAACGGCGGCCATTTTGTCTGTCAGTTTTGGGCCGATTTTCACGAAATTCGAACTCAGCCGTCCTTAGGGTTTAATGGTGATATAATAAAACGTTTTTTTAAATCGGATAAAAATTATGACCTCTAGATGGTCCACAAGCTAAAACGCGATTTGTCATACAATAAGGGGCCATAATTCATGAAGTTACGGTCCGATGTGCGCGAATATCAAAAGGAACCGAGATCTTTGTGTTATAAACTAACATTTCAAGTTTCAACAAAATCGGATAAAAATTGTGACCTCTATAGGGTCCACAACCTTGATATACCATATTTTTACGCTATTTGAGAACGAAGGGCGGCCATTTTGTCTGTCAGTTTTGGGCCGATTTTCACGAAATTCGAACTCAGCCGTCCTTTGGGTGTAACAGTGATATATTAACACTTTTTATTAAATAGGATAAAAATTATGACCTCTATAAGGTCCACAAGCCAAAAAACGCGTTTTTGCGTACAATCAGGGGGCATAATTCATGAAGTTACGGTCCGATATGCGCTAATATCGAAAGGAACTGAGATCTTTGTGTTATAAACTTACATTTCAAATTTCAACAAAATCGGATAAAAATTGTGACCTCTATAGGGTCCACAACCTTGATATACCATATTTTTACGCTATTTGAGAACGAACGGCGGCCATTTTGTCTGTCAGTTTTGGGCCGATTTTCACGAAATTAGAAGTCAACCGTCCTTAGGGTTTAACAGTGATATAATAATAGTTTTTTTTAAATCGGATAAAAATTATGACCTTTATAGGGTCCACAAGCCAAAAAACGCATTTTTACGTACAATCAGGGGCCATAATTCAGGAAGTTACGGTCCGATATGCGCGAATATCGAAAGGAACCGAGATTTTTGGGTTATAAACTTACATTTCAAGTTTCAACAAAATCGGATAAAAAATTTTGACCTCTACAGTGTTCACAAGCCAAAAACGTGATTTTTCGTACAATCAGGGGCCATAATCCATGAAGTTACGGTCCGAAAGATGCCAATATCGAAAGGAACCGAGATCTTAGGGTGATAAACCTATATTTCAAGTTTCATTGAAATCGGATAAAAATTGTGACCTGTAGACTGTTCACAAACAATTGTGGACGGACGACAATATACGTCCACATGAAAATGTGGGCGTATAAAAAAATATATGAAGACTGTTCACAAACAATTGTGGACGGACGACAATATACGTCCACATGAAAATGTGGGCGTATAAAAAAATATATGAATAATAACCAAGCATTAAAATTCAGAAGTATGAATTTAACTTCAGTGAGTGGGGGGGGGGGGCATATGATCCTTACATCTATATAATATGTGTTCAGTTAGAAAAAATATAAAACATTACAATTACTTATAATACAGGAAAAAATAATAGAAAAATAATAAGAACAACTAATGAATAGATTTCCTAATAAATAAAATGGTTATTGAATTTTTAAACATGATTCATATTGAGTTATAATGCTGCTTATTAAATAAGTTATTTCTAGTATTGATGTTCTATTTTAGACAAGTTCATGAGATATAATTGATTTGTTCTTAGAATCACAGACACATCTGTAACCTGTTCCTTTAATATAATGATCCCTCGTTGCTGTGGTGCATAATAATGATCCATAAGCATTGTAACAGAAATTTAGATTATGTGTACATAATGACTCATTCTCTGTAATTCAGACATATACCTTGCTTGTTTAATACACAATTTAATACATAAATTGTCTATTTTCAAGCGTTTTTCCTCTCAATATCTTACATCAACAACTTTCTTGTGTTGACAATGTTCAATTTTATATTTCTTAAGACATTCATGACAATTATTTTTTCCCTATTGCAACAAATCTGCATAGCTCAGTTAACTGGTCTCATTCCTTATATGATTCTATGAAAAATACTGTACTGAAAGCGCCCAATTTACGCTCAGGGCCTTAATCATTCAACTCTTTCTGAAACTTGATACCTCTCGGTAGAATCCATCAATTTAAGCAAGTAATTATTAAAATGCTTTGATTGATAGTCACACTAACTTCCCAAAAGGAAAAATGGACATTTATTTCATTATCTGTGCCTCAAAGAAACTCTTAATTATGAACCATATGCATAAGGATAAAAACATAAATAAAGAAGCTCACATGATAACTTACAAGTGAGTAAAAACAGAGAAAAACAAATAAAATCAAAACATTTATAAATCAACACACATTTTTTTGATTATTTTACAGATATTTTTAGAACACTTCTTGATTCCCCACCCCAAATTGTTAAAATAAGAACCCTTTGAACAATGTAAAAACAAAAGGCTTCCATATTTGGACATTAGAAAAAGAAAATTCCCCTCAAAATAGAATGCGCAGAAGATTTTAAGATAAGCCAAGATGATAACATTTTCAAGCGGATGGTTTTGTGTTGTTAAAAACATAAATAAAATGGGTTATGCTTGGGTCTTAAAAGCCAATATCTATATCTTTTCAGTCCTTTCCTAAATCAATTAAAATTATAAATAATAAATTTTAAATTTATTTAAGAAATATATCCAGATTTTTGTTATTAAAATGACTACCCCTCTTTGATTTGGGTCAAAATTAAAATTGTTGACTTATTGAATATAATATGTTGATTTGTTTCGTGGGATGACAATTTGTCTTCGATAAAGCAAGACTTGAGATTTAACAAATTTTGAGTTCCACAGATGACACTGTAAGCTAAATATGAAACTACAGTTACTAAACAAGCCAACTTCCGCTTAATCGTACAGAGCTTGCCCCAAAATTATCAAGATAACACATCAGATCAATTCAATTCAATACTTTATTTTGACCTGAATCAAATGGGTTTAGCTCCTTTAAGATTAATAGATGATAAAAACATTAAGGTTCTTGTAGCTTGATAACATGAAAACATTGTAACAAATCAGTCATAAGACCTAAAATACAGTACAAAAAAAATGTTGTGCTTTTCTTCACATGTTGTAAAAACAGATACATAACTATATGTTATAATAATCATGATGTGAAAATGAATATTATATATTTTCTGTAAAATGCAAACAAGTACATGTATAGATTCATTACCTAGATATGGACATTTGTGTGCAGTCTCCTGGCAACCGGGAAAGGCATTTATATAGATAAAGATGATATCAGTTACACTTAATAGAGTTGTTCTACCCAAATATGATTACGATAATATGGCTGGTTGACATAGAATCTTCTGCTTTAATATATTCAGGTTATACCTGGTTTTATCAATCTAGAAATACTTTCATTTCTTTCTAATTTTTTTATTGTTGGTTTACATATACTATGTAACTATACTGTATGTTTGTGTTCAGTTGACCTTCCCTCTTACCAATAAAGAGAAATTTTAAAGTTGAATTTACCCAATCACAGTATTTGAAACCAGACATTAAATAGAACAGAGAAATAATCAAGAAATAGTTTGATCTTCATGTAGTGTATATTAACCAAAATAAGAATGAAATAAAGATCTAGATTGCAGAATCTTATGCATCTTAATAATCCTGTGATTTAGAAGAATGTTCAATTTTACAATACATTTCTTTTGTAGTTACTTCTTTTTCTAAAATAATTTTTTTCTATTAAAGTGAAATTTCTACGGTGGCTGATTTAGATGAGTCGAGCACTTGAGATACTAAGTCGAGCGCTTGAGATACTGAGTTAAGCACTTGAGATAGTTAAGTCGAGTGCTCGAGATAGTTCAGTCAAGCGCTCGAGATAGTTAAGATAGGTCATTTTTATAGCCCATCCAAAGCTGCAGTGACGGAGCGCCCCCCCTCCCCACAAACACACACACACTCCATCCCATGCTCACCACCACCACTAAATATTTCCTGTTACATTTACCCCCTTCCAAGTAGGGAGTATATCGCATGTTATTATAAGAATCAACAATTGTATATATCGAGATTACAGAGTTTTGCTAGGAGAGACTGACAATTCCTCTTATCTAGAAGCTCAGGTCTGATCCAAGGTTATTTATTTAATATGTAGGAACTGATCATTGCCTTATTTACCCTGGAGCAAGTGGCATGATAATGCCAGGGTGGGGATTGGGTATCCGCTCTGTCACTGCAGCCTTGGATGGGCTGTAAAAACAAACAAATGAATATCTTTATTTTATTCTGCAAGTTTATCATCAAATTATGCACAAAATTATACAGCTTAAAACATCGGTTGAGACATGTTTGGTTATATTATCTTGAGCGCTCAACTTAGTACTTAATTATCTCGAGTGCTCAACTTAATATCTCAAGCGCTCGACTTAGTATCTTCAGCGCTCGACTTAGCATCTCAAGCACTCGACTTAGCATCTCAAGCGCTCGACTTAGCATCTCAAGCGCCCGACTTAGCATCTCAAACGCCCGACTTAGCATCTCAAGCACTCGACTTAGCATCTTAAGTGCTCAAGATTTTTTTTGGATTTTTTACGTGTCCTAAATCAGCCACCGTAAATTTCAACCTATTGGTATAAAATCTTTTATCTCTTCAGCTCATATAATAAAAAATCTAGATTCAGAACCCAACTAACCTATGTTACTGGTACATGATAAATAAAATCCCAAAAACTTACTGGAACTTAAAATCAGAAGGCCTACTTTATTACCATTTAAGTTTGCATGCTAAAAATTATTTCAAATCAAAACCTATTTTTAACGTAGCCATTCCAGATATATTTTAGTTAAACATGCATTATGCAAGAGCTAAATCTGCCAACTGCACGTCTTTCTTTAGGCCTGAAATGTTATCTAAATTATTAATTAGACATTTAATTAACTTATCCAGACCATAATCAACTCTCTATGTCATTGCTAGCCTACGATATTTACCGGATTTGAATCCTATCTGCTGCACAACGCTCATTGATAATTAAATCAAAAACTGGATAACCGAGACTACGTTTTTTATCATAACGACTTTAGTAAAGATGATCAAGGCTAGGCCAAAAATTCAATCTCTAAATTCTCGGTTCAGAGTGGATCAATATGACTGAAATTTTCAGCAAATCCCCTTTACATTATCTAGTTTTTAACTATTTTATCTTTATCTCATCTCCCATATTATATCTTTAATAAAACAGGATTATAATGGATGAAAGAATTTAGAAATGTTTATCCTAGACTTGTTCAACTTACTGTCTCCAAATTCCATGCTACTATTAAGTGCTTGAAGACCGGAAGAGATTAAGTTTTTGTGAACTGGGTCTCTGATATTTAAACACAAGTTTCTAAGTCAACCATTACAAGTTGTTTATATAAATATTATATTTGACTTGTGTATGATACATGTACATTACATATAAACAATGTAGATTATATACAGCAAAAAAGCTTTCCTGAAAGTTCACAATCCTGTCCCTCACTAGGGTAGTGTAATTTAGCTCAGGGACTAGAATCGAGTAAAGGCTGGTCACAAATGATGTAAAATGATTGGCATGTTATATTGCCAAAAATGTCAATTTTCTAAATTTTTTTAAAAAATAATATTTTTGAATTTTTTTGCTAAAGTGGATTGAATATCGCTCATATTTCTTAATATCACCCTCTCTGTAAGGGAAACAACTGCATAATAAAGATTACCAAGTAAGCAGATAGGGATATTACTCAACTAGCTCATTAAATCACCTTACAAAAAATGGCTTTAATATTCCAAACAAAAAAGCCCTAAACTTCTTGGAAGAGTTAAAATGAACCAGCCAGATGTATGTACTAATATAAACTGATCATAAATGGTTAACCGAAATGATATTTTCCCCTTCTGGTGCCCAAGTTTCATGAATACTCAAAATGGGATGGAGCTGCCTATCTTTTACATTAACCTCCTCAGTGAAACTGATGAATTTATTTGTACGACGAATAAAACAATAAAAGCAAGAATAACATAAATGCCCTGATGATCAAGTATTTAATATAAAATGCCGAAGTTGCAACCATATTCTCATAGAATCTTTAATCAATCAGAAAAACACTGAGAAGAGTTCCCCATTAAAATGGGTGCTGCCTTTTTATATAAAAGGTAAAATGGGTAAAAAGACTCATTCCCGGTTGCCTTGTGATGGAGAGACTGCACAGGTTCATCATCATTGATGAGGATGCTGGCCATTCTTTTGTCTATTGGCTACATAATCACAGTAACTAACTGAGAGTTTTTCACTACAATAGCGTGTCAATCGTATACTTTTCCGGACATCAGGATTTATTGTCCCTTTAAAACCTCCTTTCCTTAATAGTGAATCAATTGTTTCTATGCGGTCCCATCCTGAAAGTGAACAAGAAGATGTCATAAGACATTGCTTTTAAAACAATATTTCACTTGTGATTTCTGGCTCTACAGAGCAATGAAATACAAAAATAAGTGTACCGTATCTCTCTACTCTGTAAATATGGTTTTAAAATATTTCCTCTTTCAATAGTCCTTGGCAAAAAAATATATTATTGTGCTACTAAAACATGAAGGAGTTAGTTAAGTTAACCTTATTTTTTATGAAGTAAAATAACGAAAAAAATACCCTCCATACAAATGCAATGTTAAAGCAAGCTATTCACAGGGCATTGAGAATTACAAGTCAGGATCTTTGAGTGCAGCACTGGAATTCACGAATGTATTTAAAGATACCTGAAGTTTGTATCATTTGGCTGAAAACATAAATATTTTGATTTCATTCTGATAATCATACCTTGTTCTGTGGCAACTTCAGGCAGATATGTGGCTGTCTTCTTGTGTCCCTTATCATTAACAAATTCTATCCGAATACCATGATTACCAACCTATAATAATAAAGACAGCATTAAATTGACACATTCATTTACTATTGATAACCAGCGGCTGCCAGGCAGGATATGCCCACATTTTGCAAGAGATGGATAGAGAACAAGCTAAACAAAAAGCGATTTTTCGTACAATCAGGGGCCATAATTCAGGAAGTTACAATCCAATAAGTGCAAATATCGAAAGGAACCAAGATCTTCGGGTTATAAACTTACATTTCAAATTTCATCAAAATCAGAAGAAAATTGTCACATATAGAGGGTCCACAACCTTGATATACCATATTTTTACGCTATTTGAGTACGAGGGGCGACCATTTTGTCTGTCAGTTTTGGTCAGATTTTCATGAAATTCGAACCCAGCCATCCTTAGGGTGGAAAGGTGATATATTCAAATGTTTTTTTTTAAATCGGATAATAATTGTGACCACTAGAGGAACCTCAAGCTAAAAACGCGATTTTTGTACAATCAGGGGCCATAATTCAGGAATTACGGTCCGATATGTGCAAATATCGAAAGGAACCGAGATCTTTGGGTTATAAACTTACATTTCAAGTTTCATCAAAATCAGAAGAAAATTGTGATCTCTAGAGAGTCCACAACCTTGATATATCATATTTTTACGCTATTTGAGTACGAGGGGCGGCCATTTTGTCTGTCAGTTTTGGTCCTATTTTAATGAAATTCGAACTCAACCATCCTCAGGGTGTAACAGTGATATATTCAAACGGTTTTTTAAATCGGATAAAAATTATGACCTCTATAGGGTCCACAAGCTAAAAACAACCATCCTTAGTGTGTAACGATGATATACTAAAACGTTTTTTTTAAATTGGATAAAAATTATGACCTGTATAGGGTCCACAAGCTAGAAACGTGATTTTTCGTACAATCATGGGCCGTAATTCAGGAAATTTCGTACCAATATGCAAATATCGAAAGGAATCAAGATATTTGGGTTATAAAAATGCATTTCAAGTTTCATCAAAATCTGATAAAAATTGTGACCATATTCTTACACTATTCGTGTACAAGCGGCGGCCATTTTGTCCGGCAGTTTTGGTCCGATTTTCACAAAATTCGAACTCAACTATCATTATGGTGTAACGGTGATATAATCAAATGTTTTTTTTAAATCGGATAATAATTGTGACCTCCAGAGGGATCACAAGCTAAAACATAGGTTGCCAGGCAACGAAACATACGCCCACAGCAGCTAAATCGTCCGGGCAGTCAACAAGAGTTGTCGCATATTTTTACTTTTTTCGGTAATGAAACATTTAAAATACACTAAAATCTGATTAAGAGCAACAACTCAGAAAACCATTAGAATTTGTTTGGTTTTTATAAAGTTCTGCCCCATGCTAACGTTTTGTATACAAAACTTTTAATACTGTATCATGTATTCCAAGTCATAAAAATTCATCGAAAATCAATATACTTGTTCGTCTCAAGATCTTAAACTCTGTGTATCAATCTGAAGTCAATCGGATATTCACTTTGGCCTCCAGAGTGTCCACAAGATTTTTCAAAATGATCAAGGGCCATAACTCTGGCAGTAATTATCGGAAATCGCTGAAAATCAATAGGCTTATTCGTCTCATGACCGTAAACACTGTGTATAAATTTAAAGTCAATCGGATATTAACTTTGGCCTCTAGAGCGTCCACAAGATTTTTTGAAGTGATCAAGGGCCATAACTCTGGCAGTAATTATCGGAAATCGCTGAAAATCAATAGGCTTCTTTGTCTCATGACCTTAAACACTGTGTATAAATTTAAAGTCAATCGGATATTAACTTTGGCCTCTAGAGCGTCCACAAGATTTTTGGAAGTGATCAAGGGCCATAACTCTGGCAGTAATTATCGGAAATCGCTGAAAATCAATAGGCTTCTTCGTCTCATGGCCTTAAACATTGTATATAAATTTAAAGTCAATCGGATATTAACTTTAGCCTCTAGAGCGTCCACAAGCAATTGTGGACGCCGGACGGACGGACGGACGGGGGCGACGACAATATACAACCACATTTCAATGTGGGCGTATAAAAAGGCAATTTTTCGGATAATCTGGGGCCAAAATTTAGGAAGTTACGATCCGATATGCGCAAATATCGAAAGGAACCAAGATCTTTAGGTTATAAACAGGCATTTTAAGTTTCATCAAAATCGAATTTAAAATTGTGACCTCTACAGGATCTGGGGCCATAATTCAGGAAGTTACGATCCGATATGCGCGAATATCGAAAGGAACCAAGATCTTTGGGTTATAAACATACATTTCACGTTTCATCAAAATCGGATCAAAATTGTCACCTCTAGTGTGTCCACAAGCTAAAAACGTGATTTTTCGTACAATCAGAGGTCATAATCCATGAAGTTACGGTCTGATACATGCCAATATCGAAAGGAACCAAGATTTTAGGGAGATAAACGTATATTTCAAGTTTCGTTGAAATCCGATAAAAATTGTGACCTGTAGAGTGTCCACAAACAAATTGTGGACAGACAGATGTCCAGACGTCCAGAGGCGACGGCATAATATGTCCATATGAAAATGTGGGCGTATAAATATAATTCAGAAAAATAGTATTTCATAAAGAGCCTATGTATTGGGGGGGGGGGGGGGGGGTAAAGAATTTGCATTTTGACTCCTCAAAATCGTACAATAAACTTGTATTGCTCAATACTCTAGATCTTTTACATGTGTCACCACCAGATTACTGGTGTAAATGATACTTATTAAAGCTTTGTCTTGACCACTATATGAAGGCCAAACTCGGAAAAAAGTTCAGTACATGTAGGTCAATTTCAGTACTACTATACAAAATTTAACACTTGAATGGAAATGATTTCATAACATATGCTAATATTGTGATTGACTTACAAATGAGCATCCACATGGAACTGTGAATGACAGACGGCCAGTATTTATGGAAAGTTGTCACATCAACAGGGCCAGTCACTCCTGCCTTGACAACAATTACTCAACCACCAAGGAATACAGAAAGCCATAAAATTAATGCAAAGTCATTTGCAGTATTATAAACCATTTTATGCACAATGTAATTGCGACATAATATACTATTCAAAAAAAGTAGGGGATATTTGATTTTTAAGTGTTATTAAAGTCACCTAATGAAACTGACGAAGAAACAAATGACAAAATGAAATGAAGTTCACATTCATCGATTTATTCCAAATGATCGTTAGACTAAGTAAGGCACAGACTGACCATTATAAGGGTAAAATGATACACGGGGTCAAACAGCAAAGTTACCACAGCATCACAACCAAGTCAGTAACAGGTAAATCCTCCTCTGTTTGCCAAACAAGCATTGATCCGACGTGGCATACTCCTAATGAGACGTCTAAGGTCATTTTGGTCCAGATTGTCCCATTCCTGTTGCAACGCAGCAGCAAGTTCTTGGACATTGGCAGGACGTTGTTGACGTTGACGTAACCTCTGTCCAAGCATGTCCCAGACATGCTCGATGGGGGAGAGGTCGGGACTCAGTGCTGGCCAAGGTAATGTGGTGATGTTCTGTTGTTGGAGGTAACCTGTAACGATCCTGGCCCTGTGACATCTTGCATTGTCATCCTGGAAGATGAAACGGCGGCCATGACGTCGTGCGAACGGCACAACATGGACTGCCAAGATGTTGTCCCGGTAGTACTGGCCTGTAACACGCCCTGCAACAACATGTAAAGCCGTTCTTCCAGCAACAGTGATGCCTCCCCACACCATAACAGAACCACCCCCAAATCGATCATGTCTGATGACGTTAACGTCTTGGAAGCGCTCGTTTCGACGACGCCACACCCTCCTACGTCTGTCCAAAAAATCAACAGTGAACCTTGACTCATCTGAAAACATCACATTGCTCCAGCGTCGATTATCCCAGTGTTGACGATCCCTATACCAACGACGTCTTGCCTGAATGTGATGATCTCTCAAAAAAGGGATCACGCGAGGACGTCGGGCGCGAAGGTGAACCCTGTGCAGTCGATTCCGAATCGTCTGGCCACTCACTCTCACACCAGTGTCTGTTTGAAGACGAGCGCTGATCTGATTTGCTGTGATGACACGATTTCTCAAGGCCAAGGTACGGATAAATCGATCCTGGGCTTGAGTTGTCGCCCTTGGTCGACCTGAGCGTGGTCTGTCCTGTACAGATTGTGTATCACGGTATCTGGACCATAGCCTGCTTATGACAGACTGAGAAACATTCATCGTCCGCGCCACAACCGCCTGTGTTGTGCCGATCTGTAGCATGCCAAGGGCACGTAACCTTTCATTTTGGGTAAGCCGACGCATATCAAAATTTGTTTTCTGGTCACTAAAACAATTAAACTGATGTTTCCACCCTGGAATTCAATGCCACAATGACTGTAACATTCAAAGTCAGAGTCGTGCAAATCTTGGGTTGGACCCCCATGATGATCCCAAGCATCACCTGCATTCCATGCGGTAGCTATTGGTGCGTTTGGGCGTCACATGTAACTGGAAATGTTTCTTCTGTTAGGTTCTATAGTGACTTTTTTCGTAGTCATTTGCATATTTTAGTATTATGCCCCCAAAATCAAATATCCCCTACTTTTTTTGAATAGTATATGTGTAGTGATAAAGAATGATAGATAATTCTAGTATATTATGTGTTGCCAATTTGTGCTTTTTACTTTGCTGTGTTGATTTATTGCTTTATTTATCATAAACTGTATATTTAAATTTGGTTTTGTGAAAAAACATGTACAGCTTGAAATATTTCATTGTGACATATTTAAAAACAAATATCCTTATTATATGCAGAGTACATGTAAAGCATGATGTGACAGTGACATGTTAGATCCTGTATTTAAATGTGGAGGTATATATAAAACAAATAAAACAAACAATGCACTTGATCTTCCATTTATAGAATCGTGCTTGTGTATGTAGGTAACAAAACCAATTGTCTGTAATAATAATGAGCTTAAATTCTATTGTAATAACAATAGGTCCAAGGTATGCAACATTGCTATGCAAGATAATCAATTTAACTGAATATTAAATTAATCTCATATAATTCGACACGCAGAATAATTTGGCCTTCCACAAAAAGTAATTCTCCAAACAAGTTATCATAGTGTTCTATAATAATATGACATATATTTGTAGACATAGCAATCTGTAAAACAAAGGCTAAAATGAGCTCTTACTTTTAACTCCTTGTAGAGTGAAGATGGAATGATTTAAAATCACAATATTGAATATCACATGTGTTACAAAATACTGTTGGGTATTTTGATAATGGTTTATTTTAAATATTTAATGTAAGCACTTGCACTATTTGTTGTACATGTACATGTACATGTTAGATTTAATTTGTATGTGTGGGGATTGATGACATAGTATTATGTAAGATGTGATGGGTTGTTCAAACAATGTTTAGCCGACAAGTATATTATGATATAAGATTTAGGTAACAAGCATTAACACATATTGTCTAGAGATAGGATGTGTGAATCTTAATAATTAAGTTTCATTGTTCTGATTACTAATGGTATTAACTATGGCATACCATAGCCAATATAAATAAGCCTAGTTTGGAAAACAAGATAAGACGAGGGCAGAGAGAGACGTAGAGAACTTGCCCTCAGACCATGAGGCAAGGGGTCTGCCCTTGGACCCCGGAAATAAGGTCTTCGCAGACCTAGGGACAAGAGCCAGATAGATTTCACCATATGTACCTGTAAATATGTTATCCAGCATTATCTGTACCTGTAAATATGTTATCCAGCATTAAAGTATATTTCTAATAAAATGAGTTTATGTATTATGTTACACATGTCTGGTTAGTAGGTAAATATTAACCAGTGCTTACAAATGCATGTGTCCTGTAGCTTTAAAGTAATCCCTTAGGTTGAGTTTAACTGTCACACCTCAGGGTCAGGGTAAAAAAAAAAAGTCCCATGGCATATTGTTTGCATTTTCATTGAACACAATACCCAAGGCTGTTCAGAAGCGAACAAATGAAAATCTTCTATAGACTAAATTCGAAAATATGCCAAATAAAAGATAAAAATATTAAAGTTTACTTCTTCCGCGATGTTCTGACATTCATTCTTGAAATTACTTGACAATTGAAGCAATATAGTAAAATGCATATATACCATTTATCACAGACGAGACATTATGTGAAAGTCGGATACTCCCGCCAAGTTCTGACGTCACTAGGAGTTCTGAAAATATGATTGCAACTTTGTGAGTAAACGCGCACGTTACATGTGCTGGGAACAATATGAAATCACACATTCCAATAGTTTCTTTTCGTAATCCTTATGAATCAGGTTCAAATATATCATAGTCCTCTATCAAGTACGCCTTGATCCTTTTCAGAAGTATCTTGCCTTCAATCTTCGTCATACTGGAGCCTTTTTAAAAGCACGAAAAACATACTTTAAATCGATTTTCCTCGTGTCTCAAAGGCATGACGAATGACAAAACTGGAGGGAGCAAGACGTGCACTTACAGTCCAGGGTGACCCCCAATTTAGCCAAATAAATGTTTGAAGGTCGGACTCCTACCTCTAGGAATGAACACTGTCGGCCAGCTCTATCCTAGCCATTGATCGAGCGTCAAATTGAAATAACCCAGGGAAGGCACAAGGGCGATGTTTTGATTCAAATTTTCAACTTTTCATATATACTCAATATTAACTTATTTCAGACGCCCGAAGTGACCTCTCAACCTGGCGTGAGTATATGATTTTCTGGCCATGTGTACCATGTTTTGTAGTTTTATATCTACTTTTATCAGGCACCCTACGTTTGTATTTCAATGTCGGAAATCGCAGAATAAGTAACTTTCGATCTTTTTTTCTTCCATTTGGCATATTTTCGAATTTAGTTTATAGAAGATTTTTATTTTTAAAGTTCTATATCTCAAAATGAGACCTTTTTTGCTTCTAAAGGTCATTACAGTGAAACCTACATGTATGGTGATCTGAGCTTGATCTTTGACTCTCTACATGTGTTTTCATGCAAATACTCAGGATTTTAAAAGATACTACAATATGATTTTTTTCACAAAAAGTGGTGAAAAAAGGATTTTTTTGTGAAATTTATTACTATGTTACAAAGTAGATTTCCTCAAAAAGCCATTCAAGCTAGAGATGTGATATTTTTGTCTTGTGAATATCTCGACTAGTCCAAAATGTCGTATTTTAAAAAATTGGGAAAATCAACCTGCCTTAGTAAACATCTGGTATATCAAAGTTGTGAACCCTCTAGAGGTCACAATTTTGATAAAACTTGAAATGCATGTTTATAACCCAAAGACCTTGGTTCCTGTCGATATTCGCACATATCTGATTGTACCTTCCTGAATTATGGCCCTTGATGTTAAGAAAAATTGCTTTTTATACGCCCACATTGAAATGTGGTAGTATATTGTCGTCGCCCCCGTCCATCCATTGTCCACAATTGCTTGTGGACACTCTTGCTTGTGGACACTCTAGAGGCTAAAGTTAATATTCGATTGACTTTAAATTTATACACAGTGTTTAAGGTCATGAGACGAAGAAGCCTATTGATTTTCTGTGATTTCCAATAATTACTACCTGTTAAGTGTCCACAAACAATTGTGGATGGACGGACAGGGGTGACGACAATATACGTCCACATGAAAATGTGGGCGTATAAAAACATTAAATGCTTCATGAGTAATTACTGTAACTTGTAAGTAAACATCAATATCTTAAAATATCTGACATTCAGTATTAGATATTCATTTTCCATCTGTTATTAACTGTGAAACTAACCAGCTGTTCCCAGGTAAGATACGCCCACATTTTGCAAGAGATGGATGGATAAAAAAGTAATTTTTCGTACAATCAGGGGCTCTAATCCAGAAAGTTATGTCTGAAGTGCGCAAATATCGAAAGGGACTGATATCTTTGGGACATAAACATATATTTTAAGTTTCATCAAAATCGGATAAAAATTGTGACCTCTAGAGGGTCCACAATCTTCGTATTACATACTTTTACACAATTTGCATACAAACATGGGCATATTGTTGGGTAGTTTCATTTTGATTTTCCCAAAATTCAAATTCAACCTTTAAATTATTATGGTGGAATGACGATATACGGTTTTTAAAATCAGATAAAAAGTGTGACCTCTAGGGATCCACAAGCTAAAAAACACAATTTTTCGTACAATCAGGGACCATAATCCAGATGCAGCGAAAGGAACAGAGATCTTTGGGACATTAACATATATTTTAAATTGTGACTTCTAGAGGGTCCACAACCTTGGTATGACATGCTTTTACACTATATACGTACAAGGAGCCGCCGCCATCTAGTTTTCTGCCAATTTTCACGAAATTGGAGCTCAACCGTAATTAGGGTGTAATGGTGATGAATTTAAATGTTTTTTAAAATTGGATAAAAATTCTGACCTCTAGAGCTAAAAACTTGATTTTCGTACAAACAGGGATTATAATCCAGGGAGTTTCGGTTCAATATGTGCAAATATCAAAAGGAACTATCATTAGGGTGTAATGGTAATATATTCACACATTTTCTTTAAATTGGATAAAAATTGTGACCTCTAGAGGGACCACAAGCTAAAAACGTGATGTTTAGTACAATCAAGGGCCATAATTCAGGAAGTTACGATCCGATGTGTGTAATTATCGAAAGGAACCAAGATCTTTGGGTAATAAACGTGTATTTCAAGTTTCATCAAAATCGAATCAAAATTGTGAACTCTACAGGGTCCACAACCTTGATATACCATATGTTTACACAATTTGCGTGCGAGGGGCGGCCATATTGTTTGGCAGTTTTGGTCTGATTTTCACAAAATTAGAATTTGATCAACATCATGGTGTAACGGTGATATATTCAAACATTTTTTTTAGCTCAAATAATAATTGTGACCTCTAGAGCAAGCACAAGCTAAAAATGTTATTTTTCATACAATCAGGGACCATAATTCAGGAAGTTACGATCCGATTTGCGCGACTATCAAAAGGAACCAAGATCTTTGGGTTATAAACAATCATTTCAAGTTTCATCAAAATCAGATGGATATTTTGACCTGTAGAGTGTCCAATATCGAATGCAACCAAGATCTTTGGAAGATAGACCTATATTTCAAGTTTTGTCAAAATTGGATAAAAGTTCTGACCTGTAGACTGTCCACGTGAAAATATGGACAGACGGACGGATGGAAGGACAAACAGGGGCGACGACAATATACGTCCACGCGAAAATGTGGGCGTATAAAAATATTTGACTGTCTATACATTAACAAAGAACAAACTGTTTCAATAGCATTTAGTAATTGAAGACTTGAAGTGGATATACACAGGAAACAATTCCATTGAATACAATTACTATTTATTGATTACTTGATAAAGACTAGAGGAACCTAAGAGAAGATTAATAAAAACAGTAATTGTATTCCATAGGGTTGTATCTGTCAATAAATAGTGGTATATACGACACGTAATCTTATGGTACTTAATATGATCTTAATTACCTCCCAGTCCAAATAATCATCAGCCTCTTCAAATTTTGTTAAAATTGAGACTGAGCAATGGAGCTTAGGAAATTCTTCTTTAGCTATTGGGACAAAACGACTGTCTTTCATGGCACTGCAAAAATATAAGAAAACAATTAGTAGATTTAATAATACCTTGAATTTATTAAAATGTAGAAATAAATTACATGATGTTATATGTTTGTATATATTGTAATAAACACATTCAAAGGCCCAATATTTCAGACTAATATACAAATATAGATTTGCTTACTATAGATTTCTGGCAGCCATCTTTATTATGGCTATTGATATCTGAACAATAACTCATATCTATCCATGAACAGCAAGATTAGATGGAATCTAACCTATTTTTTTTTTTTGCTTGTCTCAATTAGGCCTACTATTCTTTTTCAGACCCAAGTTATGTTAAAATTAAATACGGAGTAGATATGTTTATTAGGTATCTGCCATGTGGTGGCTTTAAAACTATAAAAACGTAAAATTATTCATAGAATACCAGTACACATTAATTTCAAACAATCCTATTTGGAAACCAGCGGCTGCCAGGCAAGATACGCCCACATTTTGCAAGAGATGGATGGTGAAAAAGCTAAAAAAAAATACAACATGATTTTTCGTACAATCAGTGGCTATAATACAAGAAGTTATGGTCTGAAATGCGCAAATATCAAATGAGACTGACATCTTTGGGATATTAAGATATATATATTTTAAGATTCGTCAAAATCGGACATAAATTGGGACCTCTAGAGGGTCCACAACTCAACCATCATTAGGGTGTAACAGTGATACATTCAAAAGTTTTTTTAAATCAGATATAAATTAGGACCTCTAGAGGGACCGCAAGCTAAAAATGGGATTTTTCGTACAATCAAGGGCCATAATTCAGGAAGTGATGATCTGATATGCGTGAATATCGAAAGGAACCAAGATCTTTGTGTTAAGTTACAAGCATGTATTTCAAGTTCCATCAAAATTGTGGCCTCTAGAGGGTCCACAACCTTGATATACCATATATTTACACTATTTGCGTACGAGGGGCTGCCGTTTTGTCTGGCAGGTTTGGTCTGATTTTCACAAAATTAGAATTTGATCAACATCATGGTGTACGGTGATATATTCAAACATTTTTTTTAGCTCAAATAATTCAATCTCACCATCATTAGGATGTAACGGTTATATATTCAAACGTTTTTTTAAATCGGATAAAAATTGTTACCTCTAGAGGTACCAGAAGTTAAAAATGTGATTTTTCATACAACCAAGGGCCATAATTCAGGAACTTACGATCCGATATGTGTGAATATCGAAAGGGACCTAGATCTTTGGCTTATACACATGAATTTCAAGTTTCATCAAAATCGGACAAAAACTGTAACCTCTAGAAGAATATCCACAAGCTAAAAACATGATTTTTCGTAGAATCAGGGTTAATAATCCATACCAATATCTATAGTCACCGGGATCGTTTGGAGATAAACCTATATTTCAAGTTTTGTCAAAATCGGATAAGAATTGTGACCTGTAGAGTGTCTGCAAACAATTGTGGACCAACATACGGATGTCCGGACAGGGGCGACGACAATATACGTCCACATGAAAATGTTTTGATATAAAATAATTAATAGAATACAATATCAAAAAACCATCGTTTTATCCAACTTTTCGTCAGTAAAAATACTAACTTCTTCAGGGATGAAGAACTAAATTCAAAATTGGCCGAATAAAAAATACTTCATCTAACCTACTGACAGCATATTCCCTGAGTCCAGTATGTAGATTTATAGCTGCGAATGTACCAATACATCCTCGTAGTCGTCTTTCACGCCCAATCTTCCATGTAACAAATAATGGACTATAAAAGAAGCAGATATAGAGTTTAAATGACAATTTCCAGTAGCCTTAAAATGGCAAAACAAAAACAAAATTGTCGATTTCGCTGCCATTTATCTATAATTTGTTTTGTGTGGTGACAAATCGCTTTTTACTGCAAAATTTACATCATGAGCTACAACCAGTGTGTCTTCTGAATATATTTAAGTAAAATTAGCAAACAAACCGACTTTGTCTAATCTTTGAAAACAACAATATAATAATATAGATCTTGTGCCATCACTATTTAAACATACATTATGCAAGAGTTAAATCTGTCTATTACAGGTCTTTCTTTAGGTTTTAAATGTTACATGTACTGCATATATACTATTAATTAGACATTTATTAACATAACAAGATCATAATCAACTCTCGATGCCAGCGGATGCCTCTGGTTTTCAACAGATTTGAATCAGATCTGCTGATCAACAGCTGTTGATGATTAACCCTAAAAACTGGACAACAGAGACTTTCATTTATTATCGTAACAACCGTAAGAATGACAATCAAGGCTAGAGTGTCATTAAAATGAGGGTTTCTCGGCTCAGAGTGAAGAAATTTTTAGCAAATTTCCTTTACATTATCTAATTTTTAACTATAATAGCGAGAACTGTCAGTTCTTTTTCTAATGCCACTTTAAAATAACACATCAGGGACCTTATTCACGAAAACTTAAACATACATTATGCAAGAGCTAAATCTGTCTATTGCAGGTCTTTCTTTAGGCCTGAAATCTTATCTAAACTATTAATTAGACATTAATTAACTTATCCAGACTATAATCAACTCTAGATGGCATCGCTAGCCTGCGATCTTAAGTGGAATGTGAGCCGATTTACTGCATAACTTTCCTTCTCCATTAAACGATTAAATGGATATTCGAGACTATGCTGTTTATCGTACTGACTTTAGTAATGATGACCGAGGCTATGCAGAAATTACATTCGCTTAGTTCTCGGTTCATAGTGGATCAATTTGAATGAAATTTTCAGCAAATTGCCTTTACGTTATCTAGTTTTTAATTATTATAGTGAGTAGGGGTGTAACGAAACATCGAACAATCGATGTATCGCAATAACTTGACTGCCGATAGTCTGTATCGATAGTAAAAAGAAACTATCGATAAAAATTGCGATAGTCAACCAAACTATCGATTGTTTCGATAGTTTGTAATAGCAAAAGTTAAATGGCACAAATTCCTAAATAGTTCTCTCGTATTTGTCGAATATTTACTTCCAAAATACTTGTTCGAAATTGTGTTTTTATTAAAAGTCAGTCTGTATTTGTTTCTCGATCAGTCCAGTCCAGACAGTTCCTTCATTCATGAGAATCGCGGAAATATAACTGGTTAATCGTGCATTCTGATTTGTTTAAAGATGGCAGAATTTGAGGTTGTAAAATAACGATAAAGCTAAATCAAAAGTATGGAATCGGAATCATTTCGTAATTTTGATAATCGGCCGGTGAAAAAAAATAGAACAAGCTTGTGCATCTATCGCGCGCCTTCGAAGCTTTGTAATCGGTAGATATTAAATTAATAATTTAATGGTTACACTGACCAGTTGTTAGTTATATAATCCTTTGATAGAACACCGAATACACCGAGAAACGGTCATTAATAACATATTATTATTCTCCAATGCCAATTTACCGATGACACGTGATATCAGGTGAAATTAGGTCAGTAAACCAGCGATGCTAGTTTTAAATAGCGTTTACCGTTATGATTTTTATACCCCCACATTTTCATGTGGCCGTATTATGCCTCCGGACGTCCGTCCACAATTGTTTGTGGACTCTCTACAGGTCACAATTCTTATCCGATTTCGACGAAACTTGAAATATACGTTTATCCCAAAAAGATCTTGGCTTCTTTCGATATTGGCATGTATCGGATCGAAACTTCATGGATTATGGCCCCTGTTTGTACGAAAAATCACGTTTTTAGCTTGTGGACCCTATAGAGGTCACAATTTTGATCCGATTTTGCTGAAACTTGAAATGTAAGTTTATAACCCAAAGATCTCAGTTCCTTTCGATATTCGTGCATATCAGACAGGAACTTCCTGAATTATGGCCCCTGATTGTACGAAAAATCACGTTTTTAGCTTGTGGACCCTATAGAAGTCATAATTTTTATCCGATTTAAAAAAACGTTCTATTATATCACCGTTACACCCTAAGGACGAGTGAATTCAAATTTCGTGAAAATCGGCCCAAAATTGATAGACAAAATGGCGCCGTTCGTTCTCAAATAGCGTAAGAAAATAGTATATCAAGGTTGTGTACCCTATAGAGGTCTCAATTTGTATCCGATTTTGTTGAAACTTGAAATGTAAGTTTATAACCCAAAGATCTCGGTTCCTTTCGATATTCGCGAATATCGGACCGTAACTTCCTGAATTATGGCCCCTGATTGTACGAAAAATCGCGTTTTTAGCTTGTGGACCCTATAGAGGTCATAATTTTTGTCCGATTTAAAAAAACGTATTATTATATCACCGTTACACCCTAAGGATGGATAAGTTAGAATTTCGTGAAAATCGGCCCAAAATTGACAGACAAAATGGCCGCCGTTCGTTCTCAAATAGCGTAAAAGTATGGTATATCAAGGTTGTGGACACTATAGAGGTCACAATTTTTATCCGATTTTGTTGAAACTTGAAATGTAAGTTTATAACCCAAAGATTTTGGTTCCTTTCGATATTTGCGCATACCGGACCTTAACTTCCTGAATTATGGCCCCTGATTGTACGAAAAATCGCGTTTTTAGCTTGTGGACCCTATAGAGGTTATAATTTTTATCAGATTTAAAAAAACGTTTTATTATATCACCGTTACACCCTAAGAACGACTGAGTACAAATTTCGTGAAAATCGGCCCAAAAATGACAGACAAAATGGCTGCCGTTCTTTCTCAAATAGCGTAAAAATATGGTATATCAAGGTTGTGGACCCTATAGAGGTCACAATTTTTATCCGATTTTGTTGAAACTTGAAATGTAAGTTTAAAACCCAAAGATCTCGGTTCCTTTCGATATTCACGCATATCAAATTGTAATTTCCTGAATTATGGCCCTTGATTGTAGGAAAAATCACTTTCTTGTTAGCTTGTTCTCTATCCATCTCTCGAAAATGTGGGCGTATCCTGCCTGGCAGCCGCTGGTTTATTTTATACACATGATGACAGGCGTATTTTTTTTAAAAAAAAAAATATTGTCGTTATTATCATTGAAAGCCGTATGGAATTTAACTTTAAAACCATTCATGGTTGTCACGTGATTATTCAATGTGCTGTACGTGTCTATCATGGACAAATGAATAAAATCATTTGCAACTACGTTACATGATAGAAAAAAACCCCTACAAATTGTGTTATGAAGAAATACCACGGTGCCTATCGGCTTATATCCATCGAAAAAAAAACAATACAGTAATTTTATTCAAGAATGTTACCGACATGAATTTCAATTTGTACGTGAATTAAAGGGACAATAACACTCTTGCTGGCTTGCAAGATCAAGAAAATAAATAATATCTCTATCTAAGTACTAGATGTTTAAGTGTCCTACCTGTTGTGTAAATTATCCATTACATCCTATTTTATTTGTCCAGAGGGTTCGGAGTTTCATTTGAAAAGGTTTACGTTAGACGTTTCAAACCATTATGTTGAATTTTTCAAAATTTTTAAATAAGGTGTGTTAAGATGAAATTTGTATCATCAATTAATTGAAATATTCTGAAATAGTACAATTTGTTGACCAGAATAAAGATTGGGACATATTATTCAGTTACAACAAGAGTGGTATTGAGCCTTTAAATGAAAACCGTTGCTGAACAGCCCAAGCCAGATAAACCACCCATACGGATAACCATTCCGTTTCAAGGAACGTTATCGTACCACATCCGAAGGCTACTCGCAACGACAGGCATCCAAGTCATTTTTTACAAAGGACGCACGCTTAAAGACCACCTGAAAGCGAATGGTAAACTGCAGCCCACCATTCCACTGCCACCTAAAGGATGTGTCTATGAAGTTGTGTGCTCGTGTGATATGACATACATTGGTGAAACCCGACAACCCCTACCTAAAAGACTCGCCCAGCATAACTCAAGGTCCCCCACAGCAGAATCAGCAGTTGCCCAGCACCTCCAGTCCAATCCAGGCCACAAAATCCAGTCCTCTAAGACCCTAGCCCTCAACCAACACAACGAAAAGACGCGGAAAATCATGGAAGCAATACACATCAGGAGATCCAAACCAGACCTCAATCGCGACACAGGAATATTGCTCCCAAGAGCCTATGATGAACTAATTCTTAACTAATGTGTACATGCCTAGACTTCCATACGTGCTTAAGTTACTTAGTTCGCGTATCATGTGTATTACTTGTTTATTCTCGTTATCCATTTGTAGAACTAATTTTAATAAGTGTGTGTGTCTAATGGGAAGGAGTGTGCAGGACATAATTACTTAGAAGCCTGTGGATAGGACTGTGGTGTGGCTTTCCAATATTTACATTTACCACTTATTTATGGTCATTTATGTAATTATCTTTTGTAAACAGTTAAGTGTCTCTTGTACTTATCCTAGGAATAAATGTATGTGTGAGTCTGTCGGAAGGAAGAATGTTGGACTATCATTAGGTGTGCTATGTTGTGTGCATTTTAATACTAATATTTTGTAATTCACTTAAATATGGCTTAACCATTTAATCCCTATGTAGCTCACTACTCCTCTGATGTTTTCGTAACATGTATGGCTTCCCTTTTGTTTGGTTTAATGGTATGTTTACCCCTATTATCAGTCCTTTATTATTCCCTTGATGTACCCTCACCTAGCCAATCACATCATGTATGGTTTCTCATTTGTCATGATTGGTTGTCCAATTAAAATTATTTACCCCTATAATCCGTCATATGTATATTGCCTTTGATCATGTTGTTTTTTAATCCTTTGATCTTGTTATTGTCATGCATG